GCTTAATATTGTTGTAAATGATGCCCTTTATGGGTTCTTGATTAGATTAATAAAATTCTTATCTTATTAAAATTCTTATCTTATCTTATATAGATTCTACCACTGTATCAAGTGTGATACGATATTTATTCATTCAGCCACTACCATGCTTAATGGAGTGAATCTTAAGATATATATAGATTCTACCACTGCATCAAGTGTGATATTTATCCACTCAAGACAGTTAAATTTTCAAATTTAAAACCATAGGCTCACAGAGCGTTTGAACTATTTAAAATTGAACTGTCGAGAGTGGATAAATATCTTATTGCACAAGATTTTGTGGTGAAATCTATTTAATGATTTATAGGCAACAATACAGACAGTTTTTAATTCTTCTTTTTCGAATGATCTGCAAAAAATGTGTTCTTTCTATGTGATGTCATCAGGCATGGTCGACTTTTTTCATGACGTCACCATAAGAAATTCAATGGAAAGCACGAAAATTTGACGTCTTAATCGAATTTTGACCACTGAAGAACTGAGAACAAACGAACCACACATTGATTAAATAAAAATAATCAACAGGTCAGGAAAAGTATAAATCGGGTAAGAATTAGAGAAATATATATATCTGTATAGAAAGAGATTTTTTCAAGATACTGTTCAGAATATATTGATGTAACATCTTAATTAATCATGTTAAAAGAGAAAGTTACCCCATAAAAAATAATGTTGGGAAGATAGCCAGATAGCCAGGTTATATTAGAACTATGCTCTTCATAAGTAGGCATTTATAGAAAGTAAATGTCCAAAGGGGATTACACGTTTTTACCACAATTAAAAATACTCTGAAATGTCAACATATTAAAAAAAGGCTTTTGTAATTCAGAAATTACTGCTTACATTTATTATTGGAATTTTTGAAGAATGGACAAAAATTATTGCAATTTTAGAAAAAGCTGCATATACATTGAAAATACTGTAACCCAACTTTATTTCATGGATACTTTATTTCACGTTACTAGACTTTTCTAGCCCAATTCACAGTCTTTAAATTAGCAATTTACAAGTTTACGTGATGTTGTTAATTAAGAAAAGATTGAAGTATAGGGAATATCTGATACATATACTGTACAGTTAGTTAAGATACATACATGTATACTGTACAGTTAGTTAAGATACATATACTGTACAGTTAGTTAAGATACATATACTGTATAGTCAGTTAAGATACATATACTGTACAGTTAGTTAAGATACAACTGTATAGTTAGTTAAGATACATATACTGTACAGTTAGTTAAGATACAACTGTACAGTTAGTTAAGATACATATACTGTACAGTTAGTTAAGATACATATACTGTACAGTCAGTTAACATATACTGTACAGTTAGTTAAGATACATATACTGTACAGTTAGTTAAGATACATATACTGTACAGTCAGTTAAGATACATATACTGTACAGTTAGTTAAGATACATATACTGTACAGTTAGTTAAGATACATATACTGTACAGTTAGTTAAGATACATATACTGTACAGTTAGTTAAAAGTATATGTACCAGATATTTGAGTTATTATTGCGTTACTTACAAAAGCATTATTCACATTGATAATAACTTCACAATAATTTCTGAATTAACAGTAATTCATTTTCACAAAAAGAACAAAACCATTTTAGATAAAATGTTTCTGATACATATAGGTACTTTTTATGGGGATAAATTTGAAGAACTCCCAACATGAAATAATTCTTAATTGACTGTTTAGATAGAAATTATTTTGGGATGCAGTTCAATATCTTTTGATGTAAAATCTTAATAGATTCCATTCAAGAGAAAGTTACTAAAAAAAAACATTTCTTGGAAGCATCCAGGTTTATATTATTTTAAGAATCTATTGATGCAAATTCTTAATGGATTTTGTTAAAGAGAAAGTCAACCATTACAAAAATAATTTTTTGCAGAGGTTTCCACCTTAGAAATTGTTAAGTTCAGCATCAAAACTAACTGATTCTGAAGGTTGCCTATTAAGATAGGCGTCATCCCATTAAGAAAATCAATATTTTGGGAGGATTTTCGGTAAAATCGAAAGTTATTTACATCAAAGAAAATCAATGTTTTTGAGAGAAATTTAGATGAGAGATAAACTTGGTAAACAGAACAGTCAGTGTTTTAAGAGAATATGCAAGTTCATTATCATAAATAAATGCACATAAAGAAATTCATCAATTTTGAACCTGTTCATTTCCACGAATGTTTTGAGGGATTCTACATGTATGAGGATGTTCCTCTGCCTAATTATTGTTGTTTTTCAATTGATACAAAAAAAAATGACACACACAACAGAAGTAAATTTATTGATGTTATTTTATTTAGGCCACATGTACATGGATAAACGTTTCTTTGAATAAGTAGAATTTTTTAAATGAAAAGAAAACTAAAAAATTGAGCAGAGGTTTAAATTTCGTTCCAAAGCCCTCTATATGGCAAAGTCCATGTTTTAATAGGGGACAACCAAAATTTCATTTTATTCAAAAAAATCTAAAGAAGGTAGACATGAGATAGTAAAGATTATGTGAATGTTTCACTGAAATCCAGTCTCGGCTTGAAGAGGCATTGCAGATACTAAATGTCAACCCATTTCATAGATATGTCAAAGTCAATGTTTTGCACTGAAAGTGAATAGCCAGGTGCGAAAAATATGTCTTACAACATCCCCCATCCAACCCCCAAGTCCATCCCTCTATTATTTCTCACTGTTCCAAGTTAATGGCAGAAGTACATTTGTAAGAAAGCAGGTTAAAGAAAAAAAGTTTGACAAGAGCAATGATTAGAGTGAAAGTTTGACGAGAGAAATAATTAGAGAGAAATTATGATATTTTTTTTGGTAGAATCTGGGTTAATGTTAGGAAGATTGTGTAAAACCTTTGTGTTAAGGAGAGAAAGTGAACCCATCAAATATCAAAGTTAATCATACAAAACCAATATAGATAGCAGAAAAGATCTAACACTTAATCTCTTTGTCATTCAATTAACTACCATCATAACAAGAAATAATAATAGCTCAACTGTTTCCTCTTAGAAGTAATCTGCTATTTTTAATATCACATGTAAACATATTATGCTTTAATATTGTGATGACATAAGCACTGTGTCCAAACTGACCTGATAATTGGTGTTTTGACTTGTAAAGAATGACCATAACTGACCTACTTCCTCTAGATAAATTGGCTGTTATTTGCTATACAGGAGCAAATATTTCATTCAAATTAACAATAAATTACAAATTACCAAAAGGGTTGCAGAGGTTGAAGGACAAGATATTGAGACAAAAAAGAGGGTGTACTGATAGGGGTAGAGAATTTATGTGGTATTTTTACCCTTTTTGCGAATAAGACTTATATCCTCTTACAGAAACATAAAACTCAAGTAAGAAACGAGGGAAAATATGTTGTGTTAGTTTATCTGCATGACAGAATGTATATGTATTTTTAGCACCTGAAATATAAAGAAACAACAAAGGAGTAACAAACAAATATTCTCACTTATATCAAGCTCTGTTGTGATCTATTGCTTACTTATAAGTAAAAGTTATTATCAAACAGGAAGTAGAACATCTTAGGAACTGACAATGTGTCACAATGTATGGCATAACCAGATGAAGCTTGGTGCCATACATATAAAGAAGCTATATATCTTGTAAAATGTGACAGAATTAAGTGAAGGACACTTGGATGGACTGAGGTAAACCTTCCTTTGGAGCAGGGATATAATTATCCCATTTATTCTGTCAAATTTCTGAAGCTACCACAACGATAGAACCAGGGTGTAAACTGTAAGGTGTATGAAAATGAACCCAAGATGTTACCCCAGTAACAAGTGAAAGTGATAAATAACCTGTCAGATGACACCTACAACCAAACATATCCTTTGTTTTTCTATTATAAAGAAGAGATATGACAGCGGATAAAATGTCTGACATGACGAGTGTTCTACACATCAAACTATTACATCATTGGCAGGATTTCTCCATCACAAAACATAACAATACCAGATCCTTCTTCTCAACATCATCAGACCTCAGAGGAGGTTACATATAGATATTATGTAACAGAGGAGGTTATATATAGATATAATGTAATGAAATTGTAAGACATATGACACAGTCATGAATAAAAGGACATGTGGCATTCTGGGGTATACTTCAATAAAACAGCAAGCCAACCACACATATATACAATAGACTCATTTTTATTCATGCAGTACATGATCTGACTTTCATAAATGTCATTGGTACATGCAGAATTTGTCAAAACCAAGAGATTAAACATACCCAAAATTCCAATATTTCCTCAATCAATGAAACATTGGTATCAACAAAAATAAATAAATCCCCAGTAACCAAAAGACATTTAGTTGTAAACATATAGTTTTCACCAATAGAAAAATATAAAAGGTTTAGTTTGTTTAACCCACAATTTTTCCATGGACCTTGATCATACAAACTCTGGATTCGACAGTCATTATTATTTTTTGTATCATCAATTCATTTAAAGTTCAAAAACATCAAGTTATTTCAATCTGTTAAATACAGCTTTCCTTTTTCTTCGGTGCATGATGTCCAATAAGATCTAAGATCAACTTAGAACCTTAGTTTAGAAATAAAGGTTTGGACTGAACATATAAAATAAGTAACTCAGATCTTATTTTCATATCTCCTCTAGACCTCTTCAATATTTATTGCAAGTCTTAAACACTTGTGTATTATTTTTCTTCCCATATATACAGACCTGTTTTTGAGTTTTAAATATTGCCTTAAATGCCATACTTGAAAAATTAAGTGTCATATATTTTTTTTACTGAAATATCTTTGTATACGTAAATGTTTTTAATCTAAAATTTAACAAAAGTTGCTCCAATTTTTATCTGTTGCTTTTTTTTAATCTGAAGACGGGATAGCTATTATTTAAACTGACAGCATTTCTAGAAAAAATCAACTAAAATATTACCTGTCATAACCTGTGTTTCTATGTGGAATCTTTATATTTTCATCTGTACCAAAACTTCTTCCATCATATGTTGAACCAGTATGGGTACCAGACGGCTTATCATAACTGGTACCTAAATAACTGCTCCCTGTAGCTCCTCCATATCGAGAACTATCCCCTAAACCATGTGATCTTGAAACATAACCATAAGAACCAATGGAAGAATCATAACTTTTTGGCGTATCGTAATTTTTCTGTGTATCATAACTTTTGCTGGTATATTTTGACATAACGTCGTATGAGGGAAGCCCGCTTCCATAAACACTTAGACTAGGAACTGAAAAAGAGAAGGTAAATTTATACAGCGCCATAAACACTTAGACCAGGAACTGAAAAAGAGAAGGTAAATTTATACAGTGCCATAAACAATTAGCCTAGGAACTGAAAAAGAGAAGGTAAATTTATACAGCACCATAAACAGTTAGACCAAGAACTTAAAAAAAAAGGTAAATTTATACAGCGCCATAAACACTCAGACTAGGAACTGAAAAAGAAAAGGTAAATTATACAGGGCCATTTACACCCAGACTAGGAACTGAAAAGAGAAGGTAAATTTGTACAGCGCCATAAACACTAAGACCAGGAACTGAAAAAGAAAAGGTAAATCTATTCAGCGCCATAAACACCCAGACGTGGAACTGAAAAGAGAAGGTAAATTTACACAGCGCCATAAACACTTAGACCAGGAACTGAAAAAGAAAAGGTAAATTTATACAGCGCCATAAACACTTAAGACCAGGAACTGAAAAAGAAAAGGTAAATTTATACAGTGCTGTAATGAGTTACAATATAAATTTTAACAAATGTAAGAATTTGTTGATTTTACAGTTATTAAGTCTCTTTACACCATTTTATCATTGGTTTAACACAAAAATATCTTGTTCCCAGCATAGCAAAAAAATTGAGTTGGCATACTGTATATAGCAGACCCACCTGAGGATTCTTAGTCTCCTGAATAAAACAATCAGTAATGAATTTGGTGGGAAAAAGACAAAACCACCTAAGCTGCAGTATGAGTCACCTCTGATTAATATTTCTCTAATAAATCTATATACTTTGGTACCTTATCAACATCTATATACTTTTGTACTTAATCATTGTTGAAGCAAGCTTGACAGTAGTAATAATATACCATCATGTCCTTGAAGAAAGAAATTATTTTGACAGTTACTACCCAGTCTCCATTATCTGCTGCTATCATTAATACTGTGTAATATATTAAACTGTTCTACTCAAGAAAAAGTTATGTAAGATACAGATTCATAAAGGAGAACTTTTTTTTAATAGTTTCATTTGGCCTTGCCTCACCATCTACTTTTTATAAACAAAAGCTGAACAATTCTCTGATAGACCAAAACTTCAAATAAAAAAACTGCACATGGTCATATCAAAATTCTCAGTAACATAGTTTCAGGAAAACACATTTGATTTACTGTAGCTGCAAAAACTTGGTTGCCAAATTTAAATAGAAACAATACATCGAGACCAGAGTATAGCCTTGCTTTTAAATAGTTATGGTCTGATCAATGATATTTACAGTTATAGCTGTTATATAACAAGAAGAGTCAGTTTTGAAATTTTCTTTTTTTCTTTTGTTTAACACAACTTTCAGCAACCCTGGCTATAAAATGGCAGCCTGTTTTTATTGGTGGAGGAAGCCGTGGTGTACCTGGAGAGAACAACGGACCTTCAGCAGGAAAACTGGTAATCCTTGTCAACTAAGATCATTCAAACACACCTTTTAATAAGCAGGGTACCTAGAGAGAACAACCTACCTTCAGCAGGTAAACTGGTAATCCTTGTTAATTAAGATCAGTCAAACACACCTTGCAACAAGCAGGGTACCAGGAGAGAACAGCCGACCTTCAGCAGGTAAACTGACCAGTTATCCTTGTTAATTAAGATCAGTCAAACACACCTTGCAACAAGCAGGGTACCTGGAGAGAACAATCAACCTTCAGCAGGGAAAACTGGTAACCCTTGTCAATTAAGATCAGTTAAACACACCTTGCAACAAGCAGGGTACCAGGAGAGAACAGACGACCTTCAGCAGGAACACTGGTAATCCTTGTCAATTAAGATCAGTCAAACACACCTTGCATTAAGCAGGGTACCAGGAGAGAACAGTCGACCTTCAGCAGGAAAACTGGTAATCCTTGTCAATTAAGATCAGTCAAACACACCTTGCATTAACCAGGGTACCTAGAGATAACAACCAACCTTCAGCAGGAAAACTGGTAACCCTTGTCAATTAAGATCAGTCAAACACACCTTGCATTAAGCAGGGTACCAGGAGAGAACAGCCGACCTTCAGCAGGAAAACTGGTAACCCTTGTCAATTAAGATCAGTCAAACACACCTTACATTAACCAGGCTACCTAGAGATAACAACCAACCTTCAGCAGGAAAACTGGTAACCCTTGTCAATTAAGATCAGTCAAACACACCTTTCAACAAGCAGAGTTTGAACTCAGAACTCACAGCCTTAGAATTGACAGGCTAGTGGTTACTGTAAATGAACTACTAAAACCACTAAGCCACGAAGGCCCAGTTATGACAGTAAATTTATATGAGTACAAAATATATATTAGATGAAGTATAGATAATGAAGCACTCTAGAGGAATTTTCTGACAAAATAATAAAATCCTAATTATCTGAGAATCATGGTAGAAATATTTGTGATAGCTGATAATGTAATAATTCATACATCATGCATGTACTATACACAGATTTATACATGTACTATACACAGATTTATACATGTTCTATACACAGATTTATACATGTGCTATACACAGATTTATACATGTACTATACACAGATTTATACATGTACTATACACAGATTTATACATGTACTATACACAGATTTATACATGTACTATACACAGATTTTGCCAACAGATTAATATCTTCTAACCAAAAGTTGTTGACCATTACTCATTATTTTCTGGACTTTTTGATATTTTGAATTCTGAAATGATACGTATAAACAATAATTTCTTTTCATCACTACATTATGATGACTAAAAAACAAATTATATCTTAATTCTATCGCTTAACAAATAAGACAGTCACAAAAAAAGAAACAATCAAATTCTAAATCACGGCCTAATTTCTTCCTTTTACTTTTAATAAATTGTTGATAATGTTGGTAATGTACGTATAGTCTTCATTTTGACCTTGAGATTTAATCTCTTTGTTTGTCTGTAAGGTTGCTTGTGTACTGTACAGATTAACCCTGTCTTTACTGCCCACACTTTGTATATGTACTGAGTATACCTTCAACACTATTGAATTAGAATAGGAATCCGAAGATTTAATGGTTCCTACTGAAAATGTGATCAAATATTTATGTACAGCTATGGGTCAAAATTGTCAAATCAATCAATAGTTTTACAGTATAAATCTATCAAATCATATATTTGAGCGAAAAAACATGAAATACTACAGGTTCTAGTCTTCTCAACAATATATTTTTTTTATTTCATTCTACAAGAAATTAAGCAAAATATTTCTAAATATCAGAATGAAATGAGAGTCTTTTCTAATGGAAAACAAATAAACTGGTTAATACATTTTGTGTTTGTTTAGTTAAGTCTTTTCTAATGAATAATAAATAAAGCTTTATACATTTTGTTCTTCATTAATTGTTTTTGTGTTTAAGTGTAAAGTGAAAATAGTCAAATATGTTTATATTATTTAAAATATATATTTCAAAAACAGATCTGTTCATCAGAAGATCAGGAACTGGCTTCCATTCCAAAACACCTTAGCTCATCACTGGGTTTTGGTAGGGTTGAATCTTTAGTTTTCTGTGGAGTTTATAATTATCACTGGGTTTTGGTTGGGTTGAATCTTTAGTTTTCTGAGGAGTTTATAATTATCACTGGGTTTTGGTTGGGTTGAATCTTTAGTTTTCTGAGGAGTTTATAATTATCACTGGGTTTTGGTAGGGTTGAATCTTTAGTTTTCTGAGGAGTTTATAATTATCATTGGGTTTTGGTAGGGTTGAATCTTTAGTTTTCTGTGGAGTTTATAATTATCACTGGGTTTTGGTAGGGTTGAATCTTTAGTTTTCTGAGGAGTTTATAATTATCATTGGGTTTTGGTAGGGTTGAATCTTTAGTTTTCTGAGGAGTTTATAATTATCATTGGGTTTTGGTAGGGTTGAATCTTTAGTTTTCTGTGGAGTTTATGATTATCACTGGGTTTTGGTAGGGTTGAATCTTTAGTTTTCTGAGGAGTTTATAATTATCATTGGGTTTTGGTAGGGTTGAATCTTTAGTTTTCTGTGGAGTTTATAATTATCACTGGGTTTTGGTAGGGTTGAATCTTTAGTTTTCTGTGGAGTTTATAATTATCACTGGGTTTTGGTAGGGTTGAATCTTTAGTTTTCTGAGGAGTTTCTAATTATCACTGGGTTTTGGTAGGGTTGAATCTTTAGTTTTCTGAGGAGTTTATAATTATCATTGGGTTTTGGTAGGGTTGAATCTTTAGTTTTCTGTGGAGTTTATAATTATCACTGGGTTTTGGTAAGGGTTGAATCTTTAGTTTTCTGAGGAGTTTATAATTATCATTGCGTTTTGGTAGGGTTGAATCTTTAGTTTTCTGAGGAGTTTATAATTATCATTGGGTTTTGGTAGGGTTGAATCTTTAGTTTTCTGAGGAGTTTATAATAATCACTGGGTTTTGGTAGGGTTGAATCTTTAGTTTTCTGTGGAGTTTATAATTATCACTGGGTTTTGGTAGGGTTGAATCTTTAGTTTTCTGAGGAGTTTATAATTATCACTGGGTTTTGGTAGGGTTGAATCTTTAGTTTTCTGAGGAGTTTCTAATTATCACTGGGTTTTGGTAGGGTTGAATCTTTAGTTTTCTGAGGAGTTTATAATTATCATTGGGTTTTGGTAGGGTTGAATCTTTAGTTTTCTGTGGAGTTTATAATTATCACTGGGTTTTGGTAAGGGTTGAATCTTTAGTTTTCTGAGGAGTTTATAATTATCATTGCGTTTTGGTAGGGTTGAATCTTTAGTTTTCTGAGGAGTTTATAATTATCATTGGGTTTTGGTAGGGTTGAATCTTTAGTTTTCTGAGGAGTTTATAATAATCACTGGGTTTTGGTAGGGTTGAATCTTTAGTTTTCTGTGGAGTTTATAATTATCACTGGGTTTTGGTAGGGTTGAATCTTTAGTTTTCTGAGGAGTTTATAATTATCACTGGGTTTTGGTAGGGTTGAATCTTTAGTTTTCTGTGGAGTTTATAATTATCACTGGGTTTTGGTAGGGTTGAATCTTTAGTTTTTTCTGTGGAGTTTATAATTATCACTGGGTTTTGGTATGATTGAATCTTTAGTTTTCTGAGGAGTTTATAATTGTAAACTGTTGTTGGCATTTTTATGTTTGACAATGATGTTCTGTTCATTTTATAGTTTATGTTTGACTATGATGTTCTGTTCATTTTATAGTTTATGTTTGACTATGATGTTCTGTTCATTTTATAGTTTATGTTTGACTATGGTGTTCTGTTCATTTGATAGTTTATGTTTGACTATGATGTTCTGTTCATTTTATAGTTTATGTTTGACTATGATGTTCTGTTCATTTTATAGTTTATGTTTGACTATGATGTTCTGTTCATTTTATAGTTTATGTTTGACTATGATGTTCTGTTTTTTTTTATAGTTTATGTTTGACAATGGTGTTCTGTTCATTTTATAGTTTATGTTTGACTATGGTGTTCTGTTTATTTTATAGTTTATGTTTGACTATGGTGTTCTGTTCATTTTATAGTTTATGTTTGACTATGATGTTCTGTTCATTTTATAGTTTATGTTTGACTATGATGTTCTGTTCATTTTATAGTTTATGTTTGACTATGATGTTCTGTTCATTTTATAGTTTATGTTTGACTATGATGTTCTGTTCATTTTATAGTTTATGTTTGACTATGATGTTCTGTTTTTTTTTATAGTTTATGTTTGACAATGGTGTTCTGTTCATTTTATAGTTTATGTTTGACTATGGTGTTCTGTTTATTTTATAGTTTATGTTTGACTATGGTGTTCTGTTCATTTTATAGTTTATGTTTGACTATGATGTTCTGTTCATTTTATAGTTTATGTTTGACTATGATGTTCTGTTCATTTTATAGTTTATGTTTGACTATGGTGTTCTGTTCATTTTATAGTTTATGTTTGACTATGGTGTTCTGTTTATTTTATTGTTTATGTTTGACTATGATGTTCTGTTCATTTTATAGTTTATGTTTGACTATGATGTTCTGTTCATTTTATAGTTTATGTTTGACTATGGTGTTCTGTTCATTTTATAGTTTATGTTTGACTATGGTGTTCTGTTTATTTTATAGTTTATGTTTGCCATCTTGGTATATTCCTTCCTTTTTTTTGTTTTTAAGTTCCAAAATCTTGTAGACATTAGGGAATGACAATCTAACTCTTGAGGGGAGGGTTGTGGTTTTTCTCTTAGAAAAATATTCAGATTCCCAACTTTTAAGAAATAAATATTTTGATCAAGCAGAAGGAAAACAAAATCTGATTGAGAGTTTTGCTTTTAATATATAAGTTCTAAAAATAAATAAATGATTTGATGCTTGCCTTGTAGGGAAAACATTTTCAGAATGAAATAATAACCCCCTCAAAGTGAAATGGTTGTTCCCTAAAGGCTACTGGGCTATAGAGGCAATGATACTGATATATGTAAGTTACATATCCCACTACAGTCACGAATGGACACATTTACCTATCTGTTGCCAGGGAGCTGAAGGTTATTCATAAATGTGACCTTGACCTAATATCATACCTCCATATCCGTTGCTAGGGAGAGTGTATGTGTAGTTACTGTAACTTCCTGGATACCCATAATTCAATGAATCAGACCCTGACCTACTGATGTAACGTCTTCTTCCTGAAAAATAAAGTCCATTGAAAAATCTTGTTTGCAAATGTTTGGAATGAAATATTTTAAGCCTTTTGAGACAACCATGAATTTCTGTAGATCAACTAACTTTTGGGAGTAATTTATTGACACAACTGACAGTGTTCTCCCCAGAAATTTTGGACAGCATCACATTTGGCTTAAAAAAATAACTAGTATTTTTTTTTCTATGTCATGTGTCCTGAGAAGTAAAAATATGAATATAGCTTGTATCAAGACTTGGAATCTTCTCTTGTATGTATGCATACAAAAAATAGAAAACCAGGAAAATAAACTATTGCAAAACATTTTGTGAGCTTTGAAACTAAAAGAATTCTTTCGCAAGGTTTACAGCAAAAAAAATTTGTCTGTTTGCAGTTCAATGATGCAAATTTTTTGAACTGTAAAAGTCAATACCTGCATTTTCACATCAAATTTCCCAAAACCTTATATTATGAAATGATCATAAAAACAAGATAGGAAAAAGATATATAAATTCATATTGAAACTTTGGTTGTTTCATTCAAAACAGTTCTCCATAAAGTACAGTAAGCTAATCTTGATCATGGGTTTTCTTTATTTACTCTACAAAATAGTGTTTGGACAAACTGCAATAAACCTGTCATTCAACTGTCAATCATCAACTAAATATTTCATTCAAGTTTTCAATTTATAAAAGTTAAATAACTCCTACTGAATGCACACAGTGAATGCATGGAGAATAAATCATGTCATGCCTTCAGTAAAATGCTTTCATTATATAAATACATGCATTATAAAAATCTTTTAAATGTTATGTAACCAAGTCATATATAAACTATTTACTTTTAGGGTTGAATTGATATTTTATAACTCAAGTCATTTCTTAACCGATTTCACATTATTATACATCAACTTTTTGAAGAAAAAAAAAATTAACATTACCGGTATATCACAAATTCCTCATGGAAATTCATAAAAGAAGATAACAGCAAAAGATAAATCTACTGTTGAAAATAACCAGTGTTTATGAAGCGTTTTGAACAAAAAATATATGATATGAGTTCCATACTTATATAAGATTTAATATATCTTTTTAAATGCATACTGCATAACACCTTTGCAAAGAAAACGTTTCTTGTGTGGGCAGTACACTGAGGCATGTTAAACCCACACAAACATTTTCTTACATCTTAACAAATATTCATTCTCAAGAGAGAAACAGATATTGACAGTCAATTCAAAACAAATCTTGTGAAAATTCTAGAAGTAAATAAGCTGAGTACTAATCTTTGTAGAGATGGGTACTCATTTTGAGGTTTTAGTGATGGAGACTCTCCAGTCTGCTGACAGTTGTGGAAAAAAGGTATTGTGACCTTAACCTTGACCTTTGACCAACTGACCCAAAATATTACAGTAGTCCTGTTATTTCCAAAGGACATTCTCAAGCTAAGTAAGGTGAATGTTGGACATATGGTTCAAAAGATGCAGCCCAGAAACCAAAATTTTGCCCCAACCTCAGTTTACAAATTGTTACTTTGACCTTGACATTGACCTAGTGTAGTTACTACTGTAGTATGTTGTCTTATAGGTTATTGTTGCTGTTGTGTTGCTGTCTCTTTGACATATTACCCTACATTTCGATTTATCAATAATCCTTTATCATTTTACAATGCCAATAAATGGGTAAAAAAGACATAATCTAATTCGTAAACAGGTGTACACTCACAGGGTGATCTTTCTAGGACAAGTTATGATACAGAGAAGCTAAACAAGTCAAATTTCATTAATAAAAACAATGATAGAGATCAAGTTAACTCTGACACAGGTCAGACCCCCTACGGACAGATTTTAAGGAAACCAAGATAAAAATGTCTCACCTGAACTAAGGAGATTCTGCTAACAGGTAAATAGTAAGGTACAAATCTCTCTCACCTTTATAAATGTCTGGTTAAAGGATTAAGTACTATTGTGTACTTATGTTTCAAATGAACTGAACTATTAAGTCCGGTAATCATTTTCTCCATGCAATGTTACGCTTAAAAGCAGGAAATATTATTTTACAAAATTTTTCTCCCATTCAATTAAAGCCAACTTATGACTTGAATGAAGATTAAATGTTTCAATGAAGGGGATATATATTATAAGGTCATGTTAATGAAGGGATATATATAGTCATGTTAATGAAGGGATATATATAGTCATGTTAATGAATTACAAATCATACACTTTCTTTGATGAATTATTTCTAATTTTACTCTACAAAAATGATTTAACAGATTTCTTCAATGACAGGTGAAAGAGACCCTCAATATTAAAGGTGTTATTTTTAATAAAAATATAATTTATAATACACCAATCTCGAGTTGTTTTTTATGAATGAGTTACATCGGTTGACCTGAGGTCAATCAACGTAAACGATGTCATCGAACAATGGGTTTCTACTATGAAGTAATATCATAAGCATTGTGACGTAGGCAATGTACGGGAAAGTGCAATAGTTCCAAAGTCGTCTATTGGCAACTTGAAATTTTAGAAATAAACTCATACCTTTCGAATATCATCGGTTCTCTATATTTATCTAATGATACGTGTTATGAATTTATTTTAAAGCAACAATATTTGATAGGCTCCTTTGTTAACTTGTGTTGTAAAGAAATGAGAGTTTTTTAATCTTAAACATCTATTATTGCTTTTTTATATGAAAATGTAATAATTTGCCAAAATTGAATGTTTAACTATAATTTGCTTTAAGGCCAAAAATAAAATTTAGATTGTTTGATGTTGCTTCCCTACCCACCTAAAAAGCAACCTACCCTTAACATTTTATGACACAAATCGTTTCAAATTTTTTTTTTATAGATTTTTTCCTGCTCTTACATTGTTTTCTTGTCTAAAACATGTAGCTTAAGTTGTTGGCCAAAAAAAATGACAAAATTTCTTCCTATACCTACCCAACCCTACAAGGCAAGGGTAGGAAACTTCAAACAAAGAAGTTTTTACGGGTGGCCTAAATCAGTATTACTTTACATCCAGTCTTCTGTATGGATCTATATGTTACAGTAAGCGTGCGTCTAATTATTCGTTTAATTATTCGTCTTTTTGTTCGTCTAATTGTTCGTCTTTTAATTTTGTTTGATTAATAATGCTTAATATTCGACGGAGCAAATTTTTCACTTGAAGCCTTATTCTTCCTGTCAATCACAGTACTATCATTTGGATAAATTTGTTTAGAAAGGGAAGTGGTATATTTCTAGTAGAACCTCTTCCTTCAGTTGAAGATCAACATTTAGCACTTAGAGATAAGTACTCAATCAGTTTTGTTCCTGTTATGAGACCTTATATTGATAAGTATCTAATTGGCAGAAATGTTCAATTTATTATTTATAATTCTTTTAATTTTAATAGATACAATGTATCAAAATTGATCTTTTTGTTACTGAGCATAATAGAACAAAGGATTAAATGAAATCAAAGTGGGAGAAAAGATAGTTGGAAAGGAAAGAAAGAAAGATCTAGACATTGGAGAAAAGGAATATAGTAATAATTGGAAAGACTAAGGACCTTCAGTTTATTAGCATATAAAAATGCCAGTCTACCCTAAGTCATAGGACTGTCTATTTCAATGGGGTAACATTACACAATTGATAATAATTAGCAAAAAAAGAAGAAAAAAATCACCAGAAAAAGAAAAAAAAGTGCCAAAAAATTATCTAGAATATATTGGAATAGAGAAAAATAGACCAAAAACAATAAAATAAAGTAGAAATATAGCCTAAAACGGTTAAGAATGCAGGAATGAAGAACCCCCATCCAGACCCTCATAAATTATAGGAGAAATATAGCCTAAAACAGTTAAGAATGCAGAAATGAAGACACTCGACCACTCATAGACGAGGATGTGTGGGCCCTGTTACTAACAGGCCCACTCATAGAGGAGGATGTGTGGACCCTTTGACTAACAGGCCCACTCATAGAGGAGGATGTGTAGACCCTCAGTTACTAACAGGCCCAATCATAGACGAGGATGTGTGGACCCTGTAACCAGCAGGCCCACTCATAGAGGAGGATGTGTGGACCCTGTTACTAACAGGCCCACTCATAGAGGAGGATGTGTGGACCCTTAGTTACTAACAGGCCCACTCATAGACGAGGATGTGTGGACCCTGTTACCAACAGGCCCACTCATAGAGGAGGATGTGTGGACCCTGTTACTAACAGGCCCACTCAAAGAGGAGGATGTGTGGACCCTCAGTTACTTACAGGCCTAATCATAGAGGAGGATGTGTGGACCATCAGTTACCAACAGACCCACTCATAGACGAGGATGTGTGGACCCTGTTACTAACAGGCCCACTCATAGAGGAGGATGTGTGGACCCTGTTAATAACAGTCCCAATCATAGAGAAGGATGTGTGGACCCTGTTACTAACAGGCTTAATCATAGAGGAGGATGTGTGGACCCTCTGTTACTAACAGGTCCAATCATAGAGGAGGATGTGTGGAACCTGTTATTAACAGGCTTAATCATAGAGGAGGATGTGTGGACCCTCTGTTACTAACAGGTCCAATCATAGAGGAGGATGTGTGGACCCTCAGTTACTAACAAGCCCATGACAGGTATACTGATATACTCACATAAACAATAATTTCTTATAGTATAGTTAAATCATCCAAGAATATAATTGTCATCACTTTTATTTACTGGTATTCAATAATCAAATAATCCAATAATCCAATAAAATTGCTGACTCAAGCGTAATTAAATCCAATGAAAACTGACACAGAAACTAAATTTGTCTGGAAAATGACAATTTACATATAATTTCACATCAAATTAAAATGTATACAATTCACTATATAAACAAACAATGGAACTCAAACTCGAGCTGACATCGGTTTGGTCTGTAATAACACACCCTCCGTCTAATAGACCTGTACTTAAATAACCGAAAAATGACGAGGAAAAAAATAATTATCATTTAAAGTTAACGAAGTGTAAGGTATACAAA